TAAATGTAAATACTTGATAAAGTAACAAATACCTTGTAATTAAAAAAATAAATACATACCTTATAAAGGTACAGCACTTAGGTAAACACATTTGCTTTCAGAACAAGCAAATTACAGCTAATTTGCAAAAAATGCAAATGATGGATGTAGAGTGGTGTCAGAAACTTGCAAGAAGTTATTAAAAGCCAGCAATAACCCTTCATATACAGGATAAATACATCAGAATTACCTTCAGTTCCCAAAACATGGCATTTTATCAACTGAAACATACAAAACACACAATTTTTGTTTTTATTTTAAGCTATGCATATATCTTTAAGTTTGTTTTTGAATGATTGTCCAAACTTATTGCAAATATATTACATATCATTTTCTCATCATTATATAAATAAATGTGAGCTCTTTTTTTAAAAATCATTTTAAATGGTCCATATTCTTTTATACATTTTTTTTATTACAGTATGCATCAACTCTTTTTAGAACAGCATGTGTTTTCTTGGAAGCTGGAATGGTTATTAGATCTTAATATACAAATCTGTTGGTCAAATGTGAAGCGACAGGAGCTATTTAAACACAGGCAGCTGCTACATTTGCATATTTACAGTAACCTACATGTCACCTACAAATGGTAACAGTGAAGCAAACACATTCCATGTTTTTACATGCAAAGAGAGACATGAACCACATGAAACACCACTATACAAGTCTGAAGCTATTTTTAAAACGAGCTCTCATTTTTGGGTGACACTATGGGAAATTGAAAAAATAGTACTTCTGTAATGGAAACATCTGAAATACTGCATTGTTAACTCTCACTACAATATTTTACATGCCATTCTCCAGGTATTAAAACCTACTCCCATGCCAGTGTTCTTTGCTTCAGGTGATAATGATATGAGAATAATGCGGATCTTAGTACCTTCTGGCAAAATTGTCGCCATACTAAACCTCTTATCAGAGGACTAGTGTTACTCTGTCTATTTTTTTCCTCTTCTTTCTTTTGTTTCCATCTTTCTCCCTCCTCTTCCTCCTCCACACATCTCACTTCAGTTTGCTGAGGAATTCAATCAATCCTTGGTGAAATTCTCTGGGTTTGTCCATGTAGCAGGCATGGCGAGCTCCTTCTAACTTTAGCACAAAGTGATGTGGAAGTTGTATGAGGTTCTTGTGGGACTGGGCACCCAGATTTGTGTCCAGGGCTCCAAACACAATCAGAGTGGGAGTCTGTAGAAAGTACACAGGAGTCAATACTGTAAAGACTATACAGTGTAAAATGCAACACCATTATCAGAAAACAGCTGTGTAAAGATACAGGAAGTCTCCTAAAATACATGTGAAGCAAAATGCCGTTATGATGACACAACAAAAATATATGATCTATATGAAAGATTAATAAAAAAAGTAAATGTCAGATTATAAAGCCATAAAACAGGCATTGATAAAAAGCCAGACTAGTGCATAGTGCTGTACTGTACATAAAATAGAACGTGTACAGGGTATTTGAAGAGACATGTTGCATATGAAGACCTGCAGTTCAATGAGGGGCTACAGTTCATTTATGTCAGAGGGCCCTCTAGTGGGTTAATCTGGTCCTGCCTCAGTGGTGTGTATTCCCCTTTTAAAAAAAAAAAAAAAAAAAAAAAAAAAAAAGGCACAGTTCCCTAATGTCATCAGTTTGTTTACTCACATAACACACAACTAATGGCTTTACTCCATCATAGCTGTTGCTTCCATTTGAATATATTAAATCACCACAGACACATCACAACCTTTATCTCCCTCACCTGGACATTTTGGTACTGCTGTGGAGTGTAACTTCGGGTACCCACTGGTGCTATGGGGATGAAGCCATGTAGCTGAGCGTTGTTCTTCATGAGGAATGGGATGGAGTAATGTCCACTCATGGAGGGGCTCAAAAGCACAGCTGCTCTGACACCTAAAGACTCCATGAACCTTGAAAGAAGGTCCACTCGATTCTGGTCGGTCTTCAGAGCCTCTGAGTCCGGCGATTTTCCATACCCTTCAAGAAAAAGAAGAATTTGTGTAAGAACAGATACACAGGATGATTAGACCTCTTATTATACTGATGTGGGGTGGAGCGGTGCTGGGAATTGCCTGAGGTCACTGCGCTGCTTGTGTAAACCCAGATTTAATCCTTTTGTTGCAAGTAAATAAAATGTCATGTGTACCAAACAGCATGGCACACATGGCAACCCAGCGAAAAGTGAAAAGTTCTGCTGCAAACCCAGTGTCTTTACCCGGCACAATGATAACACATCAGTTTTAATGTAATACTAAATTTAGTAATACAAAAAACAAGTTTGTAAATCGTAAATCGGGAAATTAGCATCTCACATGTCCTGTCCTGACCTTATCTATGTGAGAAAAAAACTACAGATTAGGCAGGAAAAAAATATATCTATAAAATTTAAGTAATGCTGTTCTCTAAATCAGGGGTCTCAAACTTAAATTGGCTCGGGACTACAGGAACTACACATAAACCCAATATTCTAAAAATATTTCCATTACTTTACAAAAAAATGCAAATAGTTGTCATCATTATATCATCTTTGTTTGCAGCAAAACAATAAATAAAACCCCCAAACAGGCGCTCTTTTTATCAACTGTTTGCACACATTTGTGGACACCTTTGACAATATCTTGCTACAAACTAAATATGTTTTTAAAAACAGAATTGTTTTTCTTTAACTCTAAAAATATATTTTTTAAAAATTCTTTGCAGATGAGAGATAGAGGGCTGGTTGTGACCTCTGCGCGGAATTGAATCTAGTTCCTCTAATTAATTTGTGTACCACACCACACACACCATGATGAAATGATTGATTTCAGCATCATCATCATCATCATCATCGTCACTAACATTTGCATTTATTGTGTGCCTACCTGGCAGGTCCATCGCCAAGGCCTGATATCCATTAGTTGCCAGCAGTGCCATTGTACCGAGTTCTTCCCAGGTTTTGGATGTGAAGGCCTGGCCATGCAGAAGGACCACTTGCAGCCTGTAAAAAAAAAAAAAGAAATTAGTTTTCCTGTGGCTCCTCAACAATTAGTTTCTGGCAAATATAGCATGATGGAGCTGTAGGTTAGCAGCACACCAGCACCATCAACTGTCCATCCTCAGCCTACTGGTTTGGAATAAATAGATAGATATAAAAGGAAAAAGCACATTATCTCCCAAAATGTTCTACATTTGTGTCAACTCACCTTGGCAATATCTGTCGTCCAGCTCCATCAACAGGTAAAGCCTCTCTGAAGAACAGCGGAGGGTCCCCGGGTAGCTGTCCGGTGCGAATGGAGACATTGATGGTTGGCAGTGGTGGAGGAGGGGTGGCCATCAGACCCATTCTTTGAGCTTCAAGAGACGGCTCCATGCTGCCCTGGCGAATGGATGGCAGCAGCAGGTACAGCAGTAACGTGGCCAACAACACCAGGCCCAGAACAACAAGACGATTACGCAAGAAATTCATTTCATCAAGATGAACGATCTAGGAAAAGTGGTAGACAGTGCATTGTCTGAGAGACCATCATATAGTAATGTAAGTGTGTACACCCTGCATCCATAAAGACCATTGTGGATCAACCTATGGCTTTATCTTTACAATCTTTGGTTTCTACATTTGTTTTCATAGTTTAAACCATCATTCCTATCTCACACACTGCTTTACAGGAACACAAGCTTGGTGTACACAAATGATGCCACATCTCTAGATGTCAGCAGGTGTCTTGATGAGATAAATTCTGTCATAACACACAGGAATGATAACTTAAACTACCAAAATAATATAATAAAATATTTGCCTTAAAGGTTAAGACTTCACTTAAGAGTCTTGTCTCTGGTAAATATGGTAAATCCTTCAAATTGCCACATAGCATGTAAATCCAAGCATAGACTTGCAATGTCTCATGCTCACAATGCTTTAAACTGTACTACACAACGCTGCTAATGTTAACCATGTTAGTATGTTAGGACTAGAGGTGGCTGTGCAGGGAAACTATTCCGAAAAAACCCAAGAAATGTAATCTGAATGACGAAAAAAAAGGTCAGTTGGCGAAAGAAATTTCAACCAAAATCAGCTGGAAAGCTAACATTAGCTTCATGTGTCGCTCTTTAACCAGCGACAATGTATGTTACAGTGAGTCAAGAAGCAATAAGGATGGCAAACCAGAGGAAAACATACCGACACAGAGGGGATACTTGTTAATTCACTGACAGAAGGACGAGGCTGTCTGCTTTATCGCCATGTCTTCTGCATTGCTGGTTGCCGGTGATGGGAAATGTTGCCGAGAGGCTTCGGGTGGTGGATGCTGGTGGTGGGCAGCTAGCTTTTCAAGCTGAGAGGAGAAATGGAGCAGTTAGCCTGACGGTAGCTAGACATTTTTCACTCACAGAAAAAGGCGACGTACACATTCAACGTTCATTGGATAGAAAATGTCCAATCAATCGGATGAACAGGTGACCGTTAAAAGATCAAATGTGCCCCGGTCTCACTTTAATCGCCTGTTCCTCGTCGGAGCATTTTACGAGCTGCACACAACAACGCGCAGCTCTGATTATATAGTTCAGCACCAGTACGTCATTTCCTGCTGTAGCTGTCACACAAACACATAATAATAATAATAATAATAATACATCTGTTTTTGTTTTAAAATAACGCGTATGTTATCCTGTCAATGTGGATTATAATACTTTCCTCAAATAAGTTCTACATTGCCGACATGCTTTAGATTTATGGAGTACCACCTTCATACCAAATAATTATCACCATAACCCAAACTTCTTTGTATTTAATGCAACTTTGACTAGATACGTTGAAACTTCAGACAAAAGTTCAACATTTCAAGCATCATGACATTTTTTTTCTTGATTTGACATGAGCTTTTAATAGATTTTATCCTGTTTTCGCTGTAGTTTTGTTGAAAACAAACAGTATAAGTTAGTATATACAGTATATGATACAAATACAGCACTTCCATTGTCATCTTTTTAAATTATTTTAATATTTTTTGCACAAAGCGTAAAACTGTAACGTTAAATGGACAGAATCCCAGTAGACTAACAGTCCCCAGAAAATAACAAAAACAGAAAAATACATTATGTTTTAAATAATTAAATTCTCTGATGAAAAAAGTGAATGTGAATTGTTTTCAAAAACAAAACCCTTTGGTTTCAAACAATAACGTCATTATATTTAGGAAGAATAAGGCTTGTAAATTAAGGTAATTTCTCTAAAGATGTCTCTAAAATGGAGAGGTTAAGTTATAAGACAATAAAAGTTTTAGATTTTTCATAATTTTACCCTCCAGGCAGCCACTGATTTTCACTGATTTCAATGAATGGTATAAAAGATCATTTCTCAGAGACTGAAAACGTGCTTGAGTACAGTAATCCATCACAGCACATATCATATAATAATGTGAATTTAAGTTATGATAAAAAATGCGTAATGTAATTTAGCTATAAGAGTAGACAGTCAAATACGACAATGACTGATAATAATTGATAATTACTCATCTCAAACAAGTTCAAAGTCACTAACATTGATATTCATACTGTTGTGCAATAAATTAAAAGCAATGACTTCACACATTTGAAACACTGTAGTGTGCCTTCAGAAATGGTTGGCAGTATATATGGTGCTTGATGTAAAAAGGCTAAAACTGTAAAAACAGCTGGTTTATAGCTTTCTGCTGAAACTTAAATAATGATCCCTGGCATTAACTAATAGTACAATAGGGCATTCAATTATAGGTGACATCTTCCCATTTTATGCCACATAATTCAAGTGTTACGGTGTCAGAGCTGGTTTTTATAAATCTGATTAATATGTTCAGGACTCACATCAACGTCACAAAAAAAAAAAACTTAGATTATTCTTACAATGCAACTGAGTTGAAACCCAAGGGAGGTATCATAGAAGCACCCATTTCCTTTTAGAAGATTCACAGTGGAACATATCTCTAACATGACACTTTGAATGGAAAGAAAAAAACACTTGGCCATATTATACTGTAATGCACTGACGGTATCAGGCAACAGAACATCATTTCACTCCTTACTGACACAAAATAAAACCAGATCCACCTCAACAATAAGGTAGTTAAAGTGCAGTATTTTCTGAAGTTTGCAGCGTACGCAAAATGGTGTAAAGCAATACTCTTTGGGAGATTCTCAGTTTTTTCAGTCTGAGCAAAACAGCACAACCTACCACTTGCCTACTTATATCATAACTCATTTTAGGTAGCTGAATACTTTTTTGAGCAACGCCATACAGCATAAAAACAGAAGCTACTTTATGAATACGAAACTGCTCAGCTAGCTTCAGTCTAGCAAATATAATTACTTGGCAATTACCTAATATGATGTAGCTTTAGTAGTTGATATCTACACAGTGTTAATGGAGGAATCCTGACACCAACTGCTGTGCAAACAAGTCAAACTACACGCTAAAAAACTGAAAATCAAAACAGATAATTATGTACAGAGCCCGACTAATACTGGATTTGTGAGGCTGATATAGATATTTGAAAGTTTTATAAAACTCTGATAGCAGTACATCAGCCAAATATTTTTTTTAGAATAAACACGAACATCTTCAAAAGGATCCCTTACATTTGGTTATTACATAATTGTGGCCAAGAATCTTGTTCTTCTTTCTTGTTACATTTCAGCCGCCGGATACGCCAATACCAATATATCTGAGACAAGCTTAAATCGGCCATGATCAGTTAGACTCTAATTGTGTATTTGTACTGCTACAGTGTGATAAGCCTGTCTGTTTTGTTTACAAAAAAATTAACGAAAGCTATATTACCTGCTGAAATGTTTTATTTTTTTTATTTTTTACTGTTTTCACATGTCCATGTGAATTTAAAAAAAACATTTGCAAACAAATAGGAACATTTATCTTTACAGGTCTTTCCACCCATTCCTTTTTTATATACACAGTCCTGATCATTAAAAAAACAACAACTGGTAGGCATATAATTAATATCAGTATAAAGCACTGTGCCCAACAGAGGGCTGAGATGAAAACCTCAACAATCACAACTTGTAAACGAAGGCAACCATTAAAATAGAGCACTTTGTAGCCCAAGGCACACTTTTGAACTGAAACAGGTCCAGCCGTGTTGTTTCTATAAGCCAAAGATAACCAAAGAAATGTAAGACTCAGTTTGTCCTTATTGTTCACCTTCTGGGATAATGCACTTTTTATATTTAATTCACAAGGCTGTATGTCAGCACATTTATCAGCTCGACCCATCAACAGACACAAATTATGATGTTGAAATGGGCAGCAATATGCGATTGTAGAACACCTAAAGTCATGTACCAACAATGTGTCAATACTGTATGTGGCTGTGCATCAATTGTACCCATTTTCCACTTTTTGTCCATGTTTTCCCATTGTTCTGTTCATTATTAAAAAACCTTTAGGTGAAACAATCATTGTTATAAGGCATTTTATAGTGTGCAAACGGGCCCACATTTACAATACCTCCTCATCTGGAGGTTACAGGCCTTTAAGAGATAGTTATGATTTTTGACATAATTTGATATAAGCTAATGACCGCTTGCATTATTGATGGAGGGACATTAGTTCGGGGAGGTGGTCCTGAGGTTGGAGCTCCGCCAGTGCAGCTCGTCACACACAAATATTCCTGTCAGATGTGTCTGTGTGCTTGGATCCTGTCATACTGTGAGATTTCTGGTGACAGGACTGTCTCTCTGCTGTGATCAGTACAGTATAACTAATGCACAGGGACTTACCACCTTTATGTCAAGCTGTCCTTTTCAGGTCTGGCAGAAGCAGTGAATAGTTTGGGTTTCTCAGTTTCCTCAGTGTAGCAGAGTGAGGAGTCCTAGTGGGAGTAAAAAGCAAAGCGACCAGGTTCCTAAGACACTAGAGGCTTTATTGTTCCCTTTTTCTTTCTCAGCACAGGCTTCACCCCTGTATCCACTGTAGCACTGGCACTGGAAGTGCGTGCGCAAAAGAGCCAGCTCAGCTTGATCAGGCACGCCTGTAACTTTCAGCTGGCCACCCTGACTGGTGATGCTGTGTGTTAAGGGGCTGAGATGCAGATACACGTCGCTGTCTGGTATTTTTCGCAGACAGCGGCCGTGGGATTTACACACCACCTGACTGCACTGTTCAGCTGCTGTAGACACATTGAGCAGGTACCGGCCCAGCGATCCCTTGCAATACTCATTTAGGATGGAGCAGCTGGCCTGAAGGGAAAAAAAGGGGATGTTAACCACATAACTACCAACAAACCACTGAACCGTATGCTACTCAGCATCAAGTGAGCAGAGAGGGTATGACACTTACGCTGCTGCTTGCATAGGAGGTGTCCCCCCAGAAGATTACACCTGCAGCTCCAAGTGCTACACTCTCACCGATGGTGGAGACGAGATCTGTCTACAAAACATTAACACAAACAGTTCAGTACATACATACGAGGGAAATATTATCACACATAAAATTATTTTTAGTACATCAGAGTTCCAACAAAGGCTATATAAAGCTTACACACTAAGCTAATGCACTTTAAACCAAGTATAGTGTTAACCTGTATTTTATCTAATCTTCTCATGGCTGAAGTGATGTTATTATAGTGTCAAAAATATTCAAAGCTGAACCAGGACATAATTTCAGAGATTTCATTGACTGCCACCCAGAAATAAGTGGTCTCCTGGCAACTGCATCCTCCAATTGTCCAAATATAATAACTGAAATCCTAATATAATGAATGTACAAGCCTCCTGTACTTAAATTGTTGCTCTAGTCAACTAACCTCAGTTAGGAGGGTCATCTGACTCATGTAAGTTGGGCGGGTATAAACAAAAACAGGACGTGCCAATCCATCCCCGACAGAAGCCAGGCGCATCGCCTCCTTTACCCTGTTACGGACAAAGAGGCGCCCATAATTTGTAGAGCTTAGTGCAGAATCCATGTATACAGACGGGAACAATGCTGTACATTCCATCCACAACCAGTTAAGTTGATCATTGCGATCCATCTCCACACTAGGACAGCGGCCTGTGTACTCCTTCAGGCCACTCCTGTAGTCATGGTTGTAACAATCTGGAAACAGGTAGAAGCCCCAAAGTTGATTGGGCCTCAGATTCTTGGCAAGTTTTAGAGTCTCCAGCATGAATTTGCGAGCCGATAGCTCAAATTCCTGTAGTGCAACTTTTCCCACTTGTTCTGGGGTCCACTTAGGGTTCTTTTTGGCCACCATTTCCTTGGATTTACTTCGATAGATATCTTTAGTATCCCAGTTTCGGATCCACAGTGGGCGCCACTCCTCCCAGTCAATAACAGCCAGCCCTTTTGCCTCTGGCTCACGTATATATTTCTGCAAACCCTCAGGCATCTTTTCAAAGTGCTGAGCGAGGCTGGCAAGCTGTGGAAGGCCTCCATTCATTGCAGTGCCACTGCGCTCATAATAGGGATACAACCCAAGGCGCTCCTTATAGAAAATTGTGAGGTTCTGCCGGACAAAGCCTTCATTGGGGGTTGCCACAATGTCAAACTGGGCCAAGGATAAAGTTACACCATGTCGCGGGGCACAGTCTTGTGTTGGAGCATTCCAGGCAAGGAGAACTGGCTTCTGGGAGTATAATGGCCATCTTGTCTGCTTCATATCTGCTGAACACAAGACTGTCCACGATGTAAACAGGGTCAGAAGCAGCCAAGGCAGCTGGCCTTCTGTGGTGAAGAGAGATTGAAACACAGTCTCCATGGTCACTGCTCACCTTCTCTCCTCTTTCTCTACAAAAGAAAAACAAAGCAGTTTTGTTACATTCAAATTTCTTTCTAATGATGTCCCAAATACTAAATAAGAGAGAAATAGGAACTCTTTAGGTCGACTTTGAGGGGATATTTTATAGAGTTTGAGTTTTAGTAAGAGCAGCATGAGCTCACAGATAATGTAGTATCTTTAAAGCAGCGTTAAGATTACATATGACTTGTCTAAGGTATATTAGTATTAACTGCCAATTACCAATTATGATTAATAGCAGACAACTTCCTCTTTGATTGACGTTACATTAATCATTTTGCTTCGGAAATCGAAAGTAACGTTAAGTGAGTAAGTTTAATGTTAGCTAGAGCGAAATGTAAAGCCAAGAAAAAACCCCAAACCAACTAAATCTTCTACTTTTAGTTGTTCTTTAAGACTGACGGTAACTTCATTGAAACTGACAATGGTTGCTAAGTTAAGTTAGCTAACGCGTTGTTGGTTCCAGGCTGACCTGTTCAAGTGAAGCTGAGGACCGGGGCTTATTCCACTCATGTAACCGTCAGATAAATTGCCTTTCCAACGCCCTGCCATGTGAAAAGTCATAACCCAGTCCTTTCAATCCATGTTGATGGTCGATATGTTTGCCACATAAGAGGGCTAACAGAAGTTACATGGCAGGAGCGGAGGTGAGGGGTCCGTTGAGCAACAACAGTTCAGTGTACTGAGCTCCTGAGTAGGGGGGTTACGGATTTATTACAGAAAATAATTTCCCTTGTTTTCCCGTTAGTATTAATACAGCACGGGGGGGGGGGTTCTTTAAAATGACGACTGTGTAACACTCACCCACGATTATAACCCCGTCTGGCATATAATTAAGGGTAAAACTACACCCCAGTGTTGTTTACCCCCCTTGAATAAAAACCAAAGTAGTCCATTCCTCAAGCCCTGCTCTGAATTGACTGAGGAAGCTGGTTTCATTGATTAATAAGACCAAACCAATTCACATTTTGAAAAGCGTGACGACTGTAGTTTTATTACTATGGAGTCTATTTTAGCACTGTTTAAATTGTTACAGTGTAAAAAGTTTCAGTCATTCAGAATGAGTGGGACATTTAGGCTTAGGGGACATGGTTAGTCTTATTTATATAACTTAATGGTATTCAGCAATAGCAGGTGTCACACAATTTCAGAGACAGTGTCCTCCCTGGATGTTTCATTTGTATTTTCTGTGACCATAAGTATTCCATAGACTGAGGTAAACTGTATACAATTTTGCTTAACTTAAAATAAGCTTACAGCACAATTAGCATAAATCATTCTTACAATAAGCATTATTTTAGAATTAAAAAGTTGGTACTGGAAATGCTTTGATATAGATTCAGATTTGTATCTTGCATCTGTTCTGACAGAGTCAGTCTTTAACAGATGTCAATAGTAACAAATGTAGTCCCACTCTGAAGATTGTGTGTTGATACAACAAACATTATAATTCTTAAAAACATAATAAAACATTTTTAAATGTGTCATTTAACAGTGTGTCCAAATAATGTGTCTTACCAGCAACCGTTTCTTCTCTATTGTCCAGATAAAAGTAGTTCAATTAAGGTGTTCCAGTTGGTTAGGATCTGGATTCATACAGGTTGTTATTCCTCTCCATTATCAAAGTCTGTGTTGAAATCCACCACTGACTGGTATTTATATATCCAGCAGACTCCACCTCTGTTTGACCTCTAAAACACCTCAACATATTTCTTTATTTTTCCTTTTGAATATAGGGAGTTTCCAAGTGTCCAATTCAGTCAGATTCAAATCCACACTGTGAAAAGGAAATTAGTCAGTATTAGGCGGGGAGTCTTATAGATTTTACCATGACTCAAATCATCTGAAAGCATTTGAAATTCAATTCACAGCTGAAACAGGATTTCTGGCAGCTTACTCATGATCCTCAGATGATGGCTGTGACAAGTGTAAAGTTTGCTTGCAACCACACGCACACATTTTGGATATGCCATGAAGGCTTTCATTGGGAAGATTTTTGCACACCAAAGAGTGTGTTAAAACAAGTGAAATTATGTTTATCATTGTAGCTACATTCTTGTGAGCATCATAGTGAGTACCAGTGACAGTTTACCTGCTATAATCTAATTTTATAAAGTAGTATATGGTGTATATATAAAGTATATGATGGCAGGTTCTTACTGGTTGTAAACTCAGGTTTAGCTGCTGAAATCAGGTAAAAAAAAAGGGGGATTTCAAATTAATGGTGCAATAAGGTAAACATGACTCATAGCTGACTGACAACCTTTTGTTCAACCAAATAAAATCATTGTAAATTGTGAAAGTTTGTAAATTACTTAAAAAAGATAAGTTTTCACTTATAGCAAAGAAAACACATTAAGGTGCTTCTATTGAGAAAGCATGTAGTCACACACAATTTACTTTGTTGCCCTATTATTACCATCAAACATCATTCAAATACACTTAGACCTTATGACTAATAGATCTTCTGAAGACAGTTCCTGCAGAATATGTAGGGAAGTGTTTGTGATGTTTCCAAAATAAAAACAACTTTCAGACATGTCATGCTTTGTAAAAATTTAGAATAATTCACACACTTTTTAATTAGAAGGTAAAAGATGGTAAATGTCACTGTGAGTAATACCTTACTTTGCGACTTCATGTCTTAGAATAAAAAAATTTGTCAGCAAAGCCAGTGGGATGGGTGGTTTGCTGAGTCAAATCTTTTATTTTAACCCCTGATACTGCAATTCACCTCATGGTCTTTTATATTATTACAGCTTTGTGAAAGTAAACAAGAAAAAGTAATTGTACTGCCACGTCTCCCCCAGACTCAGCTGGAAAAGGTACTTGCCCAGAGGTAAAAAAAAGCACAAAGTCCTGTGTGGAGTAAAATCATTTCATGGAAGCAATAAAGTGGAGTGGACTTTGGCACAGCCCTCTTTATCCTCTATGGAGAACAATATAACAGACAGCTTTGTAGAAAACCCATTCCCATGGAGACTGCATTGATGGCCTTCACTTCTCTCTTAACTTCAACCATCCCTCATTAGCAGACAAACACATACACACACACAGTTCAATTGGCAATTTCCTATGCAGGTGGCTAATTTCATCGCAGGTGGAGGTCAGCAGCATTATTTCCACTACATGGGTGAACAGGTCCTGTTAGTTCATTTTAGTGTTTACAACCTTTGCCAAAAAAGCGAAAATCTCTGTCATGATAAAAGATGATTTGACAAACGGCTCTTATGAGCTTGCAGAATAATTGTTAAATAAAGCCACATTTGACACTAATGAAAAGAGATTTCCTCCTTTAACTTCTTAGCTTTTCCATTAAAATTACTGTAAATATCTCCCACCATATGTGGTATGTATTTGGTCATGTCATAATAGGCAGTATATGATGGGGGAGAATGTAAAACTCCCTATAGTAAGTGGACTTTGAGTTTTACTTTACTTCACCCACGGGACCTCAGTGGCCTCATGTAGCTAGTCTTCACCTGCAACATAAAATCCAGATATTTTGACATTGTAAAATGTGTACATGGATTTTCTTCCCTCTTTATAAAGTAAATGCAAAATATGTGCTGTTCAACTATAATGCACTGATGTGAAAAAAAGTACCATGACACAGTTTAGCATTTCAAATTGTAATTAAAAAACAGTTATAATAAATTAAAAGTGAAACATAGTATGCCAAAGCAGCAAAGGAAACAACAGGATCTCTTACTAGACTCACTGCTGCTGTGTACATGTGTGGCTCTAAGGTCATTGAAGCCAGTCCATCCAACATTATAATATGACATTAATCCACTTTAGCTATTGTGGGCCACTGATTGTCAACTCCCTACGTTATTACTGATAAGCAGATCCTGTTCCATGCATAATAAAGCAATTCAAGATGGTGTCAAAAAACTTAAGTGTGCACTTAAACTTTCCCACTCTAGATATGACTGTGACAGAGGGAAGAACTGGTCACTTCTACTAAACTCCCAGAGGTTCAACCAATCATACCAGAAAACAATCTGCAGCAATAAATTCAGGACTCTGACACATTTCATCCTGTGTCTGCACACACATTCACACTTACATGCACACAAACCATGATCTGTAAACTGAGCAGGTTTGGCCAACTTGGCACCCTTCTAGATCTCCATTGGTGACCTATTCTGTGTCTAACTGCACACAAGCCAAAAACAGATCACATGCAGAGGCTCAGCACACATTGCATCAGCCTGTCCACATAAGGGCATCAAATATATCAAGAGATCATGTTATTTTAAAAGGTGGTTCGGGCTTCCAGCTGTCGGGGAAACCACAGGACGGAGTTGACAAAGTGGACCGTCTGAGACGCTCCTCAGACATCATCAGGCTTCACAGAGGACAACTGGGAAATCTACATGGATGCAAGGGATGTCCAGCTTTATAATTCCCTGGAAGGACACAAAAGAGATTCAAATTATTTGGACAGTGTATACAGAGAACTACTGCTGGCGAGTAAAGCCCTGGTGTAGGGATTATAATTTCCTCACCTGAGGTGTTAGGTTTTTATGAATCCTCTTCAGCTTGGCTTTTTTACGTCCATTTTTTGTCACAATTGTCTCTTCATAGAACTCATGGGCCAAGTCACCATCTTCATCAAAGAACATAGAGCTGAGGCAGAGAGACAGAATTAATTATCCGTACATAGTACTATGCCTGTGTGTATTAAACCTTCAGTAGATAATAAAATAATATAATTAAAATAATGATTTTCACACATATTGTATTTGGTGTTAAATAAAGACAGTTGGTCAATTAGAAAGTCAAAAAAGCAAAAAGAAAAGAAGCTTTCAGCTGTCTTCCTGTAAGATGAATGCCTGGTTTTGAAAATTCGGGAGTACAGAACAAGAAAGTAGTGGTGCATAAGAGGGAAGACCACAACAAATCAGCTACTGCAGCGATAAAAAACGTGATGTGGTCACTCCTGTCAGATAAAAACGAGGGGAATGAAGACAGAGTGAACACACTGTCGAAATGAATCACCTGATCTGACAAATCCTGGTTTATGGTACAATCCACCAGAATGTATAGCTCCAATATGCCCAGTATCAACAACACAGGTTAAGTGTGAATGTGAGGGAATGTCTTCTGTACCGTTACGTCTCTCGATGGCCTGTCATATTCAAATCCTTGACTTCGACCATATCTAAAAACTACTACCTCCAAATAACTGTATACGATAAACAAAAAGCCTGCTTTTACTTGGAACTAAGTGGAGAAGAAGAATATCAACTGGAGTACATAATCACATACATACTGCTCAGTATGTGATTCTATCAGTCTGCTACAAAACCTGAAAAATGTCTACATGCTGCTGAGGCAATATTTACCTTCGTCTAGTCAACACGAAAGGTGTTGCATTAGGGAAACTTCGAACTCTCGCCATTGACTGCTCATTTCCATCTTTGGTTGGATCGTCCGTACTACCTGAGCCAGAAAAAGGCCAAAATCCTTTGGATTTGGAGCCGCTCCCACCCATCTTCAGCTGCAGCACATTATTTTCTTGTGTCACAGGACTGCCAGTAGTGCTACAGCGTTACTGTACCAGACAAAGTGTGACCTTCAGAATATAAAACCTGTGAAAAGTGACACATGAAAGTGAGTGGAGTCGTTTCTGGCCACATATTATAACATAAACAAAAACATTTTACAACATGCTATTTTAAATCAAGACAAGACAGACCAAAAGGACAAGTTACACATTTATTGCTAATCCTAAAACCCCAGTTTTCTGTGGACAAGTATACAACAGATTTACCTAACCTTAAATATGATAAAGAAAACAAACGGGCTATACAATACTAACACATGTGTGCGTTAGCATTTATAGCCAGTGCAAAAAGATATTATAGACGCTATTATTCTGAAACGAGTTTTTTCTTATCACATCTTGTTTACAGCAAACACAGACACAGAATAGAAGAAAATCAAAAGACAAAGCCCAGACTGACGTCGAGTCCAGTAAGGTCGTAATTACAGTGTCAGCGTAGAGCAGGCCAGTTGCATGACAGTGCAACCAGACAACGCAACAGTACATTGACACATAGCAAGCTAAAGTCACAGACCTAACCACCCTTCTACTGGCGCCATGTGCTACTCTCTAATCAGGTTAAATTGGTATTTGTAAATATAAAAAAATGCTGAATAACACCTGACAGCTGTGTTAAGAGTCGGGGGCTCCGCAAGATTAGGTTATCTGGGCAGGAAAGCTAATTTAGCAAGCTAGCTGGCTAGCTGTGACAAGACCCACAATAAAGTGTCACTGATTGCGTTAGTTACGGTGGCCGTTCTGTCCCTTTATATCCTGCCTGCTAACATTAACATTAGCTCCACACAGTCCGAACTCACTCAGCAGCCTTTCCCAGGTCAACATGTTTCTATCGGGTTTACAAAATGACGTTCACTGACGCTGCCGAAGGCTAACGTTAGCTTGTTTCATAACTAGCGTTTGTCGCTTCGTCTGAGTAAACGCTGGTTGACAAACATACCTAAAGTGGGGTCTGGTGTGTTCGCAGGTATGAAATGTTGTCGGATGTTTTTTTCTTGGTGGGTTGCTAAATATGTAACAAGCGAATAGCTCATACAACACACAGCTACGCTAGCTTTTTAGGGTTATGCTAACTAACGTACACCTTCTTCTTCGTCGTCTTTTTCTCCGGCAGCTGGTAAAGACATGATGATGATCTAACGCCACCGCATGGACGGGAATGTGAAATCAGAAAACTGCACAAGGAAAGACAACACCTAGACCTAGGGTGTACTGAGCAGGAAAAAAAATAGACTGTATAACTTACTGCCTGTCCCATTAACCTGACATTGACGGAAAACTGTGTGGTACATTTTACAGCCAAACACCTCATACGTTTGTGTAGCCTACTGAAGACTGTTTTTCATGGTTTGGGCTAGGCCCCTTAGTTCCAAAATAGGGGAAATCTTAATGCTGCATCAACATAATACTGTCAATAATAGCATTTTAACTGTATAGCAACAGTTTGCACAAAGCACAAAGACATCATTTTATGAGTTTGGTGTGGACGAGCTTGACTGGACAGCACTGATTTTATAGCTGTTTGAGAGCAAATCCCTGCAGCCACAATCTTATGGGACAGCCTTCCCAGAAGAGCACAGCCTGTTATACAACCACATTAATGTCCATGGTTTTGCATGAGATGATAGATAGATAGATAGATAGATAGATAGATAGATAGATAGATAGATAGATAGATAGATAGATAGATAGATAGATAGATAGATAGAGATAATATCAACAGTAATATAAATATAATGTATGGTGTCCACATACTACTATCCATATAGTGTCAAGTTTAGTGTTAGTGTTTACTCCGGCTCTGGCTTACCATACTACAATGTGCACTACTGGTCTAACACTGGTCACAATTCATATCAAAGGAGCCTTGTTTTATCATCACCAGTTTATTAGATAATTAGAATGTAAACACATTGTTTCACATTTTAATTTGCCCAGATCCATTTCACAGGCTCATTAAAGTGCCAACATTTTAAAACGGCTTCATATAATATAAATGACACTAAATATCACATGATAAATGACCAGAAAGAAAACTAAAATTGTGTTTTTAATAATAGGTCTATAAATAATCTTGCCAAACAGCATGGCTTTCCAAGAAAGTACTGCATCCAATTAAGTTTTGTTCCCCCAATCAGTTGACAACAGTGGTGTCGCTTCCATTAGCAGGGCCTAAACCTTCAGGTAGTTCACATTAAATGTAACAGCATCTTTCATTGTCTGAGCTTTTTCCTTCCCTTTTATCAACAATCAACAATACTATTCAAAGTGGCAGAATGTTCTTCTTAATGTTTAAATCAGCTGGATCCCTCAAAGTCAACCAGGAGTAGAAATCCTTGCCATGGCCTGCTTCATCGTGTCTCTAGCAAGAGCGTAGCGTTTCACAATCTGTCGGACGTGCTCTTCTTCCTCGCGCTTCAGGATTCGCAGAAAGTTGCACAACTCAGGAAAACTAAATGCATCCCACTGTGGAGGAGAGACATTTCACATTGAAATCAGCGGTGTATACAATACATATATTGCATTTTGTTTTGCAAATATTGACATGTTCATCATATGAATTAATTCTCAGACTCAGATGGAAACTTACATTTACATCCCCTGTCTCATTCTCTTTCAAAACCAGACTCAAGACTTTTTCACTGGGGCCAGCACACAAGCGCAGATAGAGGGGACACTGGTCATCAGACAGTTTACGCATGTACACTAAAGGAAATATAAATCAGTACTTTAAAATGTCATACTCGATTCTGCATTGTTTTACAGTAACTTTGCATTGTTGAGGATTCTACCTTGACTTTGTCTCTCAGTGCGTTCAAACAGGGCAAACTTGGCCGGGTTGTCCACCACAGTGAACTTGTTGAGCAGGGCCTCGATGACTTCTCGCACACGTGTTTGGGAACTTATATGCAGGTGCTTGGCAGTATCTTTGGGGAGGTAGAAAGATGTCCGCCGCTTCATCCGTCCGCCCACCTGATCTTCCTCCTGCATGGAGCACAGGCTCTGACGGGGAGGGAGGGAGATAGGACGGACTAACTGAAAGTGGACCTTAATGAAACCAGTGTAGGACCCGTCTTTATTCTGCAAGGTGAACAGATTTATATTGTAAGAATGGAAGTGAAATGATCTCATACAACTTTAACAAAGTAGCCACACTAATACAACTGATATACAGTTTAAGTAGACATTTTTGCATGAATAAATGTTGAGAGAAAATGGGTTTATTAGCCACTCACAGCTACCATGTAGAGATTGCTGTTGATCTGTGCATTATACTCCTTAACCTTGTGTTGAATCTCACTAACAGTAAACTCCTGTTTACCCCAATCGATCAGTTCATCCTAAAAAAAGGAAAAGAGCAGTTACAGAACAGCAAATAGGCCACATAATGTCAGCAGAAAGCTCGTCCACAAGTGAGCTTTGAAGATGAAAAGAGAGTGACAGAGAACAGACAAATGGAAATAAAAGTAAATTAGATTTCCAAGCAGAAAGCAGCTTTGTGTCTTTAGGACTGGTGAATTATGCTTGAGCCTCACCACTGATCTTCTGACCTTGTGAAAGAAAGACGTATACGCAGTATAATACAGCTCCAGCTCTGAGCTACTGCTGTTGTCCTGACTGCAAAATATACCGCTTGCTCTGCTTCCCCAGGTCATCTCCAAGGTTCAGGTCAGCAGGAATTTTGGCAAACTTTTTCAGATTTTTTTTTTGTCGCCAAATCCGTATTGAATAGAATATAAAATTATTTCTGGAGTTTAAATGTCTTAGCTTTCCTCTGTTTCTCTCTTCTGTCTGGAGAGATCTGATTCTACTAGCAGCTCTTTTGACCTCAGCATTTCCATTTGCTCCTCCCTGACAATAAAACATCACAAAGGTGTCTTAAGGACCAGCCCACTCCCGGGGAGATCTACTCAAATTATCCTAATATTTCACCCAATGTTATTGTTGATGTGTGTGCAATGTGTTTGTGTGAGTTTCCTATCATATATAATTTAATATATATATAGGGTTTATAGTATATTTATAGTATGTAGTAGTTTATATATATTTAGATCACTATCTTGTTGCTGCTGTTTACAATCCCACAGATGCAACAGAAAATGCACTGCAAAATGACTTCCTGGGTGTATACATATACGGTATGTATGTGTATAAATAACTGTATGTATTGTATTTATTTTATTTTATTGTATATGTTATTCTACTATAAATTTAATTATCTTTTTCTGTAGCACGAAGGGACGGCAAACTTTCATTTCGTTGTACAGCCTTTTGTTGTATGACCTAAAATGAGGTTTTTCCTGCAGGCCTAAAGTTATGATCCATTGGATATGATGGTAAACTTTAATTAATATAGTCTGAGCTGAAAAACAGAGAACCAATCCTTTAATTATCTGATATCTTGTGCTGGTCCTGGATTTTTTTTTTGGGGGGGGGGGGTTCTGAAATAAAGACAGCTGTTTTATTGTGACGTTGTTAAGTTATCCCCTCCCCTCAGCTCTCTCCTAAATTACTTTCTGTACAGACGCCTTGTCAATGAGGAGGTAATAAAAGCAGTATGTTTGAGGACATATGGCACATTGATACTCCATCTGCTTTGACCTACACAATATGATCAGAGGCAGTATTGAGCACACTTTACTTCTCCTGAAATAATGTTTATTACTTGGTTGTGCAGTTAAATCACTGAATCCACTGAATAGTACAAATGTATTATTGATCAAATATGTGATTTAAGCTGTGTTGCTCACCACATTTGTGTCTGTCTCGATAGAGTCGACAGAGAAATCGTCCTGGTCCGCTAACAAACTTCCATGCGTGCTGCAGTCCAGCTGGATGAATGGTCGGCAGCGGTAGTGGCAAGTAAAACTGCAGTCTGAGAGACAGAGGGATCACCATTAGAGGATGCAAATTTTGCATCCCTTAGTTATGCTTTGGCTAGCGGTTAGCGCTTGTTGTGTTGAGCCCTCTGCTGTGGATTTTGTTGAGTAATCTGTGACTATGCTGAAAAACATCACCCAAAACACACTAACCTAGATTATCCGTATCATGTAAGCAACATGCCAAATTGTTTGTGTGTGCAAAATAAAAATAGCTCATAGTTGATATTTATTGGCATGTCACCGGTTTGTTTCTAAGTGCTACAGCGGTTCATTTCCCCGAAGTCAAATAATAAAGACAATTTATTCCCAGGAACTGTCAGTACCAACGTGAAGTTTTCCAGAGCTTCCTACAGATTAGGACAAACTCTGTGATAAAGTTTCTCATGAATGGAAAAATAACATGGGCCTCCTGCATCCTATAGATACTAGAAAGTGAAGACTATATCACAGCTCTGTGAGCTTTGGATGGACATTAAGTTATCATGGGGTTACAGAGCTGATTTGGGCTTTAATTTGATGGCATTTATAATTATCTCAGCCATTTCATGAAACATTAATGGTTTTTATCTTCATACCAGTAATCTTTAGTAACCTTGAGAAAGCAGCCACAATGGTCATAATGTCTATTATTAAGCCAATATGTAGGAACATGATGACTAAAGAAAGTCTTTGCTTGTTAAGTCAATGGTTGCAGAGAAACCTCATCATGTACACACCAAACTTAAAGTGTTTTCTATATTTTTCTTAATGCCAAAATCAATAATGAGTTAGTCCATTTCTCAATACCTTCTGGCTTCCCCAACCTGTCTGTGGCTCTCAGCACCAAGCCCATTTGTTCTTACTGAACATTTAAATCTTTAAGAAGGCGTCTCTAATACATACTTATGCAAATGTTACTCAAAAAGGACCATGTTGCCTCTCATACTTATTTATTTGTTTTTAATAGTTTTTGGACAACAACAAAGGTCTGTGGCACAGAGCACTAAGGCTTTGGCTACACAGGCAATACTTCTCATTTCATTGTTGGTTTTGGCCTTTTTATAGGATTTATTGACACACAAAAAAACACATTATATATATGTGGTATGTTACCAAACTTCATAGAAATTCACACACAGAAGGTACTCACTGGCGCAGCGCAAACTTTGCTTATAAACACCCCAGATGAATTCTCCACACAGGTCACACCAGGTGAGATGGGTGTAACTGTAGGGCTGGAAGTCATGACCCACTGCAGCCTCTCCTGTCTGACACAGGGGTGCCTCAATGCTGACGCTGTCTCCAACCAGACGGACGACATGGAAGTGGCCTTGCTGACCTGGGTTTACAGGTGGCAGGGCTGTGCGGGCCGCAGGAGCAGCCAGTTCAATTGGATCATTTACACTGAGGTCCTTCAGCTCTATCAGCTCACATTTAGACATCCTGTCCTCAATACAGACACTGACGTGTCAGGTGAGCACTTGCTGTCCATGAGCTAGTATGGGTGTAGATCCAGGCCTGAGAGGAGACAGCATTAAGGTGTATGCCTCAAGGAAAATGAGAATATTTGATTCGGTCCTCTTCCAGATCGGTGTGTTATGAAGAGGAACAGGTGGCAGCCAAGCCAAGAGCTGCAAGACAGTTTGAAATTATACACAAGTTTGTGTACAATACAATGAATAAATATATGGGTCAATTTAATATAAAATAATCTGACATATTTAAATCTGTTTCAGTTCAGGCAATAAATCAATGCCTGTACTGTATTGTGGTTTGGCCTTCACAAATGGAAAAATAAGAGATTAACATTTGTTATCTGATGCCAGGATATACGATTATAATAAAATGTGGGTCAAAATCACTAGTATAATCCTGTGCAATCCAGGGACAACTCATACTGTTTTTCTGTGTGTGCTACTGAAACAAAACTGCATATTTTGGATTAAATCACCAAAAAAAAAAACCTTGTCATACTTTACATGCACATACATACACATATATTAAAGAACTCAATGACTGAGCTATGATTTCAGAAATAAGTGGCAACACAATGGCAGTAAAAAGCCTACAGCCAATTGGTTTTAAGTTCTTAAACGTATATATATTGACATGTATGTCTCATGTAGCCTACTGTACAAGTTTAAGTTGTAATGCTACTTTATACTTACTCTCCACTACATTTCAATGAGAAATATTGTAAATTTTCTCCAGTGTTTATTATACAGCTATAGTAATTTTGAAGATTAAGATTTATTATAGAAAACGTATATGATGACCTTATAAAATATGAAACAATGCATCAGTTTATAATGTAGGTAAAATGAGCTAATATAAAACGGTCAGGGATCATTCTGAGGCATAATGAGTGCATTTAGGTTTGACTCCTACTTATGTAGCCATTTTTTAGTTAAGTATGATTTTTAATTCTGGACTTTCACTTGTAGTGGAGTATTTTTATATTGTGGTATTGCTACTTTCACTTAAGTAAAGAACAGCAATACGTCTTCCATCACTAGTAACAGATAAACAGGGATTGACAAACACTGCATGACAACAACACTCACTTTCTGAACTGTACAACTGATCAGTGTCATCCGGAAGAATAAGTGTAAAATGTTTACAGGTGCATCAGAAACTTAGTTGCATTAGTTTTCCTGTGCAGCTGCATTGTGACTTGAATATGAACAACCCGGGGCTCTATCTGCCAACTGGGTCACCACACGGCGCAATTATCCACACAGGGCAACAAGAGCACATTGTAACCGGGATCACCCAATCCATGCATATTCTGCTGGTTGTGTCATGATTATAATCGTGTGAAAGTGAGCATAAATGGCTCGATCTATAGGAAAAAAGTTTAGATTATACTTTAATGTTATTTGTGCAGCTCAGTTTGTACCGGGACATCCCGGTTTAATCCTGTCGGAAACGGGACGACAAACTCAGTTGACACCCAGAGCAAATCTTCGCAGTTTCTGACAGACATACCGTTAAAAGAAGCACCTTACCTCTTTAATTCACCAGCGCCACTTCTGGTAGAGGAGATCTGGAGAGTGAACGCAGTTGGTCGTTTGCATTAACACCGAACCGTCCGTCGCCCGACGCACGCACCTCAGTTTGCGCATGCACATTGTGAGTGTGGGATTACCGTTTAATCCCCTCTATGTATTAAACCATCCTGAGTGAGGCAGCAGAGGAGGAAGCCCCTCTGTTCTCACGCAGATACACTACTGTAGGTGTACAGGGATGCAGTAGTATGACCTAGCAGCTTTCTAATAATAAAAAGTGTAACTAATAGCTCTTTTAAAGCTTCATGATAGATTTAAAATGGTAATAACTAATTTATTCTTGGTTAACATTAACATTTAGAACGGCAGACTTTGGGGTTTATCAGAACATAATAATTAATACATTACGAATATTCACAACTGTATTATTAACAAATAGAAAGAATAAACACCAGGGCATGAGATTTTTCCCAAACTAGCAACCATTGCTCTAATTAATAGTTTATCAAATATTAGTAAATTGTATATTAACCATTAATAAAGACATTAATTACAACTTATAAATGCTTTATAAAGAAGAAAGTGTTTTTGTTATTTTTTATTTTTATTTTTTTTTACCATGGATGCTTTTTTTGTTGTCAAAAATTGATTTAAATTAGTCAGTAAAGTATCTAAAATGATACTGGTCAATGTGAAACAGTCAATTTTCTCAAATGTGGATATTCCAGTTTGGAATAAACAGACTGTTTAATGTTTAATTAAGAGCCATTTGGAAATCACCCGATGAGGAAAAAGCCTCCAGGCTCAAATATGGCGAGCAGATGAAGGCCTGTTCTTTCTCTGTATCATCTCTCTCATGTCAGACATGCATGTTGGAATATCTGGAGTATGAGTGCCACTCACTTACACTGAGTTCATTCAGTCTCTCAGACTTTATAGACAGAAGAAAGGAGGGACTGTAGTAACTTGTACCTGTAGCTGTAAGCAGTGGGACATTTTTTTCTACTACTTTAAAATTTTACCCAAGTAAATAAAGGTAGGAAGTATTATCAGCAACATAAACATAGTCATAATGCATTATTGGACATGTATATAAGCCAATTAATTGTATTATTATTACTGTGTAGTACTTTATATACTACTGGGTATATTTTAAGACAATCATATATTTTGTATGAAAAATCTTAATCTGCAATGTAACCAGCATGCAGATGTTATAACATGTCTGATATGGATGTTATATTTTAGTGCCACCATCTGGACAACACAAGTGACTACTTTTTTTTAGAGTATGGGTTGCAATAGAAACTCCGCCAAGTGTAACTCTTCTCAGAAAAAATAAACAAAGAAACAAAGAATCTCAGTAAACAGTGGCAGTAGACAGAAGGGGGTAGACGGAGAGAACGAGAGAGAGAGCGAGATGTCCTGAATGACCATGTGTTCTCTTGCTGTGCCTGCAGTGTACAGAGGCCCTGCAGTCACAAGCTCATTAGAGATTAATTGGAGCACAATAAGCAGTGAACAGCTGACCAGCGAGTGTCCACTGGGTTGTTGGATGTGGAATGGATGGCAGTCTGAGACATCACATCCTTAACCAGCCTGCTCAACCAACAACATGCACCCGAACTGATTTTAGACTCTTTAAGATAAGATAATATAATATGAGATAAAAATGCAAGATATACAGTTACAGTTATCCATATACATGACATTCTACTTATCCATACATTTAAACACAATTAAATTAAATCTAACGTTGCGCCTATAGCGGTCTTGATTCAACAAGAAAAGAATGTGTTTTCCCTAAATGTGAAATGTGTCTGAGAGGCATCCACGTCAGCCAGGAGGAGAATAGGTGCGTTAAATTCACCAAAATCAGCACGGAACATGTCCCGGTACTCCGCTTTCAGAATAAAAGCATCAAGCATTTGGAAACGGGTTTAAACTTTTTATTTGTATTTGAAGAGTGATATGACTCACAGTTCCAACTCTTCTCCATTTAAGACACAAATTTAATAAAAATTGAAAAAGTGCCACCTCATTATCATTAATATATTTTTAATATAATATTTCTCCCATTCAAATAAGAGAAGAGGTCCAAACTGAGTGGATGCTGCTTCCAAAACCCCTGGTCCCTAGAAGTTTGGTTATAATTGAGTTATTGTTAAGTGGAAATGAAAGATCCGTTTAAATGCGTTTAATGTGTTCTGGTGAATTATACTTCTGATTAGTTCTTGTTTATTGAGCGATGGTGAATCGATAAGACAAGTCTGTATTTTGAAAAACATGACCGGAAGTACTTTTTTTTGTCTGCCTACGTAACAACGTAGGGTTGGACTATTAGGTTCGTAAAGTCAGCGTTATGTGACAGTTATCTGTTAATATAACATTAGTTCATATAAACTTCTGTTAAAGTCCCAACATCTTTAAGTCAACAAGACTTTTAGCACGAGGAGCTGACGGTTACTTTCCTCCCACCATCACTTCCGGTTCTGTTCGGCTGAAACTCCCGAGTTCAGCTAAGGTGCCAACCAACTGTTGTGTGGGTCGGTCGCAGGTGAGCAGCCTGGGTCCACATAAGTAAGTGGTCTCCAACATGGTTCACAACAAAGAGGCTGAATCTGAGCCTCGGGTCTACGGTTACACCAGAACAGCCTCTGCGGCGCTGAGCCACTTTATCTGCGTTGTCTTCACTGTGTTCATCGCAGTTGTGTCTGGACCGGGTTCAAGTGAGTGCTCTGAGTTATCACACACCTCCATATCACTGACCACTGTTGGCATATTGTTTGTTCATTTGATCTGTTTGTTTCACTTTAGGTTTGTTTTCATGGCATCCTTTCTTTATGACACTAGCGGTACGTTGACGCTTTCAAAATAAATCTTTTCAGCTGTAAATGAAATAACATCAAACCCTCTCACTTTATTCATTTTTAACCTCGATACAAAATCAATAAGTTTATCAACAATAAAATAACTGAACTAACTTTTAGTAACTTTTTTATTTAAAGCAGTTTTCTAGAATAAATGCCTCTTTATATTTTTTCCCCCCTTTCCCACCAGTTCTCTTTCTTCATGACTGAAGCCATCCTCCTTTTCTCCCCCCACGGCTCCCCCATCAAAAGATTTCCACACAAGACCAAAGGTCGTGTTCACTGGGTCCTGCAGTGCCTCTGTGTGTCCTGTGCGGTCCTGGGTCTGGCAGCCATCTCCTACAACAAACACCTGAATGGTAAACCCCACTTCACCTCGTGGCACGGTCTGCTGGGCCTGCTCACAGTGTGTGTGGTGGGGTTGCAGTCTGTGGCAGCCGTGCCCCTCATCTACCACTCTCTGGCCAAAGGCTGGTCCCTGGCCAAACTCAAACGCTACCATGCGGCGTCTGGACTCGTCACCTACCTGCTCGGCAGTGCCAGCCTGCTCCTCGGCCTCAGTTCTGGCTGGTTCACTGCGTCTGTCAGGGAATACACCTGGTACCTGTCAGCGCTCTGCCCTGCTCTCACTGCCCTGGTCGTGATGAACCAAGTCACCGGGGCGTACATGGCCAAGAAACGCCTGCAGTCATGACAGAAGACACAATATTGACACTTTAACGAAACGCTCACTGTGTACGTAGGCAAGGTTTGCCTTTGAGATTTCATTTCTTTTTAGTCACGTCCTCAGTTTGTGTATCTGTGGCTCTTTGAAGGTCTTCTCATGTCATGACTCACTTGTGCCAAATGTGGATATTGAAATACTTTGTTTTTAAATCATATATTCAGGACCATAGTTACCATTGAGGACACTGAGGTCTTGTTTTTCTAGCAACAAGACTTTTAATTTCATAGTTACACACATATTTCACTTTTTGGGATTTTTATGAGTAGTTTTGGATATTTTTAGCCATGCCAGCTTTAGTTTATGACTAAACACCTGCAAAATGAATGACATCCCCATTGTGAAAGGTATATCTGCAGTCTGTCAGACTACACCACACAACCTCTTCACTACATGACACACACCCTGAAGTAACTTCTTGAATTAACGTAGTTATTTTAATCCAAGTGTGATCTTTTCTTAAACCCAACCCAGGCAGTTTTGGCACCTCAATCTAACCAAACTGTGACAGTTTTGATGGTGTCATGTAGGAGTGTCCTGCTCCTGGAGTACTGTGCATCTGCAGATAGACCGACTCGTTCCCTTCAGCCTCAGCTCTACTTTGTGTTTAACGCCAATGTTAGCATGCTATGTCTGAGTATAGCCTCACAGACCTGCTACCACCCACAAAACAATTAAATAGCAGTAAAAATAATGGTTTTAATATTATTTAATATTTTCTGCTGAGATTGGAAACCATGCAGTGTGAAGAGGTTTTGACATACTATTGAGACCATGATAGGGGAGATAAAATGTATTAACTTGAACCTTTTTTGTTAGTTAGAAATGACTGAAGTTGTGAAATTGGATTCATGACCTCAGTATTTAAAAAGTTGGCCCTGAATATATCTTGAATTGTTACATCTCAGGTTTCAAATTATTCTGCCTTTTGACTATTTATGTTGCCATTGATAGCTTATTTTTCCACATGTTTGAATGAATAAGAATATATGTTGTACATTAAAAGCATTTGTAAATGATTCACACTGCAATAGAAGAGTGTTTTATTGTTAAAATAACATTGATAACGCGGTCATATTCTGCTTCAATCTAGGCTGCATGTACGAAATTCTTACTGGATCAGCCGTCAATGGGTCAGAGTGAACAAAGGGTTAAAAAATGTAATTACAAAAACAATATATTTTCCATCATAAATAAATAAATTTCAGACACTTACATTGAAATAAGGGAAACAACTGCCAGGTGAGTAAACACCAATAAGAAGTTATAAAAAACATTTTAAAAAATGAAAAAATTCCCATGAAACATAAAAAATGCACATAATTGACATGAAATGGCAGACAGGTTTTGTTTTATAAACCGATTCCCAAGATTCAAATGCAACGTGTTTCCAACGGACTGAAATAGACTTGAGAATAAAGACATGGCGTCAGTGTGATGTACAGTTCACAAGCAGATATGATTCTTTTTCAAAGTACCAGCTCCACCTTCAAATCTGGAACAGACCATCACAAGTTCCCAAAAAATGCTAAAGAAAAGTGGAGAGGTCCTTGATGACAGAAAAGAAGCATCCACAACAGAAACGGAAGGAGCCAGTAGCAAATAAAACAAAAAAAGTGAACAGTACTCAGGACTGTGGGAGCAAAAGATCCCCACAAGAAAGCATCTCTACAAAAATGTTTTACTTCATAGGGAATGACCTGTTGTCTCAGGTTATCCAGTGTTTTCTAAAGGCTAATAACCACTGCGTCTAGCCTATTTTACCAACGGAGGAAAGGGACTTTCCTAAAATCTACATACCTTGAGGTGTCATCACAACACAGAAACACAAGGCTACAGAGAACAGCAAAGACCTAAACTCCCTAAAGCACAGCAGATATCGACACTACTGACAGAAGCTACTTTACACTGCACTGCTTTTAAAGATGCACCTCTGTGAAAAGCTACCACACAATGGCACTGTCAGGTTGGTAAGGCCACCACACCTGCCTGACCTGGTTCTGTCACAGTCACAGGTGGTTGTAATGAAAACATCTGGTTTGATGGTCGGTGGCTACATTGACTTTAAGGTTTTATACACTCAGGCTGCAAGAATGCGATGTTTTTCCACAGTTTAGGTAATATTTGTTCTCAGCAGGTTTCTGAAAATAATCCGTGAGGAAGTATATGTAGGGTGTAACATTGACTGAACGATGATATATCAACAGATGGTGGGGGGGGACGCTGATGTAAAAAACAGGAACAAAACACAGGTTTTCTCAAATGAGCTAGGTGGTTTGGTTTGCGCTCCTTTTGGCTTTCACACTTGGTGCTTTTTAGTCACAATGCTGAACCGACCATACGCTTGTGTTTTGAGTTTGACACCGACTGTCTGGATACTCAGTAGTTCTTCCAACAGATCTGTAAAAAGGATGTTCTAGATAAATGCTAAGACTCAAGACCCCTTTGTGTTATTTATTTAAGGCTAAAAACGAAAGAACACAGTCCGAATCCTTGCCCCCAGCCCCTGTGTTATCAAAGGCTAACATGAAAGTACATTCATTTAAGTTTTAAAGAACAAAAAAAGGAAAGCAAAATTATAAAGTTGAACATAAATTCGTTTCCCCAGCGTCAATGCGAGGGCGTATTTCTCGTCACGCTAGTCACTGTAATAATGAGCCATCTCCCTACAACCAAGATCTACACACTGCACAGTATTGACTTGCAATATAAACAATGATAATGACTATTTACAAAGTATCAACATGTTCAGTTATAGTATCACACATAATATCCTTTCAACAGGGGATGCTACAATGTCTATCAAATTGCTAAAGACTAAAATATGCTCTGAAAGCCTAAAATTTTTTGTTAAAGGTCAGCCTTGAAGGATTTTTTTTACTCTAAATACACTGTCAAATGGGTTTTCATTCTGTAGCCGCTGTTATGATTTACTGTGGTGTGTATTTTTCCAGTTTTGTATACTAGAAAAAGGAAACAGTGCTGAAGAAAAATCAGTTATTTAGTGTTCAGCAGTTGAGTACGGCTGACATGTGTAACAGCGAGTCAAATTTTGGTTCGCGCTCGACACAGCAATGTGTTGCGAGGCAATCCAAACAAGTTTTCATCACATTGTTCCACCTGATTTCGAAAGGTAAAATTAAAAAGCACGACGAGGCCTTGCTTAAAAGTGTAGCAGGAGAGGCTGTGCTTAGAAAGCCCCCAAAATATTCAGCTGGTCCCCCGTACGACAAAGGTCTGTTCCCACTGCTCTGATGCTCCAGCTGAACAAGTCTGGGATATTCAGCATACGGATTTCTTACTTTGACTTTGTAAAGTCATTAAGGTACAAGTTGATTCTCTCATTTGCAGGTAAGAGTCTGTGTATGTGTATGTGTATGTGTATGTGTATGTGTATATGTGTGTGTGTGTGTGTGTGAGTGGAGTTTAATAAGCCCATTAGGAATGGGAATGCAGTTTATCTGAGGATTAGGTGAATGATTTAAATGGCTAGATTAACAGCAAGGCCATACCACATTTAACTTATCTCAATCTTTTGTTTTATTTATTGGTTTTTATTTTTATTTAGATGCCCGGTCACGTCATCATTGTAGAATGCCCATTTTTTCCTCTCTTGACCTCATGTGATTTCTGATCACACATTCAGAATATAACAATGTATCTGACCATTAGGGCAAATACTGTCACAGAATTAATTTTGTTTATTTAATGTATAATCATTCCCATCCCTAATGTACTACATGTTAGCCATGATTGATAAAATTGTGTGTGAAACTGCCTCCCCAAGACTTTTTGAGTCTCTACTGTCCTGTCACCTCTATAACGTCGTCATCAGAACTACTGCCGCCGTTCTCGGCACTCTGATGTCTGTCCGGCTGGGTCAGAGCCGCCCCCAACAGGCTGGAAGTTGGATTGTTGTAATGGGAGAGAAAACTGGATGTAGTAGAGCTGGAGTTAGGTGCAGAGAATCCCCCTGACCCAGAGAGGAGAGGGGTGGAGAACATCCTCGGCTCAGAGAGCAGCGACTGACTGTAGTTGAGAGGGAAGCCTGGCGAAAGCAGGCCTGCCATGTTGGGATTCATCAAGTAAGGAGGCAGAGAACCTGATGCCAGGGATGAAGAAGGTGCTGCCGATGGAGCGGACGACATAGGCATGGTGGTGGAAGCAGAGGAGAAAACAGTGGGCAGAGAGGATGAGGAGGGCGTGGGAAGGTGTCCGTTCCCTGTGGCAGAAGGGAACATGTTCTGTAGGTCAGCTAGTGTTTGTCCTGGTGTCTGAAGGAATGACGATCCACCACTACCACCCATCAGAAGCGGATGACTCATGTGACCTAGGTTCCCCAGTAGGGAGGAGGAGTTCAAACCCACGGGAGGAAAGCTGAGCCCACTGGAGCTCATGGACAGTGCAGGATAACGTGTTGCGGCGGAGGTGCGTTTGCCTCCTATTTGTGCGTTGCCCTGGGTTTCAGTACTCTTGCGTTTGCTGGCGCGCATTTCCAAAGACGAGCTCAGGAGGTCGTCACTGAGTTGCCTACTGAGATCACCAGTCTCATTGTTTTGCGAGCTGCCTTCATCCCCTGCCGGTACAGCCGACACATCCGACGGTGATGGCAATTCGTGCCCCATGCCAGCGGTGGCATCGCCTGTGGATGAGGTGTAGCGGCTGATCTCTCTGAGGATTTCAGAGCTTAAGGGAGAGGAGGGCCGCTGCTCCCCGTTGGGGGACTGCTGCTGTTGATCCACAGGGGACGAACAGCCGTTGCTGACTGGATGGATGAGGGAACCATGGGTGTCTGTGGTGGAGAGAGAAATATAGCCATGAAATGTCAGGAGACAAGTACCTTGCCTCTGCCTCTGAATAATTTATTCTTAAAAGGTCAATCCTGGAAATAAAATGGTGTACGCAAATATGTACATTAATGTACAAATATTATTAGAGAGGAACAAATAAATCAGTTTACAAATGATAAGCATTGATTTATTTTTGTGTTTTCTCATCTTTAAGATATTTAGTGGCATAAGGCATACTCCAGATATTGTATTGCATGTCCATAAAGTTGGAGGCTTGTTTTTCTTATTTAAATAATAAAAAAATGTGCAGCCCTGAAACGTACATTTCCAATAACACATTTTATTTAATGAGTATATGTTTGGCTCCATTTGATTGGTTGAGACTGATGCCAGCCAATGACGTAGCATACCTGTTGCAAGAGGTTACCTGAACCAGGTGGTAAATGGTAAATGGTAAATGGACCTGTACTTGTATAGCGCCTTTCTAGTCTTCCGACCACTCAAAGCGCTTTTTACACTACGTGCCACATTCACCCTTTCACACACATTCACTCAGTGATGGCAAAGTCCATCGAACAGAAACTAACATTCATACACACTCACACACCGATGCACGGCATCGGGAGCAATTCGGGGTTCAGTATCTTGCTCAAGGATACTTCGACATGTGGCACCAGGAGCCGGGGATCGAACCCACAACCTTCCGATTGAGGAACGACCTGCTCTGCCTCTGAGCCACAGCCGCGTGTGACAAAGGAAAGAGACAATGCAGATAAAAGATTTTTGTTCAGGCTTTCTTTGCTCCCTTTGCATATGAAGCCAGTCAGACGCCATGCAATACTTCAGTTTGTTGATTATCTTTTTTATTATTTATATTTTATTTATTGTTATTTAGATACTTTGATTTAAACTTGACGCAATGCCGCATATTACATTTACATAACACATCCAAACATTCATTCGCCTCATCAGAACAACGTGACCTACAAGCAAATTCATCTCACCATAAGAAGATAATCTAAATGTGCGTGTTGGAAGTCTCGTCTGGCATCTGACTGGCTTCATATGCACAGAGAATAAAGAAAGTCAGAACAGAAACCAGAGATAATAAATATGAACTTGTACCTCTCGACGCAGCAGAGCCCCCGACTGCTGGTCTACTGATCTTTCCAGATCGAATAGCAAAGATTCTTCCATCATTTGTCCGGATGTAGGTGCCTGTGGTAGAT